GTCCGTCTCAGTCGATTATAGTTCACAACCTCATCAATCGACTTATCTTGTAGTCTAGTACCCTTCGCCTGATCTCAACATTTCTCATAGGGCAGTGTTTCCATCAAACGTGAGCAATGCTGTGAAGACATGTGTGATCAAAACCCTGTGACTGACTCATGCCATCTACTTTCACAACTGATCTAATCTGTCTTTAATAGTAGATGAGTACTGAAGATATCGCTCATGATGTGTTACGGTATCAACTGAATGACAGAAATAGTCGGAAACATATAGGTCCAGATACCTCAAAGGTGCACACATTAAATACCACTTGGAATGAGAACCACTTCTATATCAAATAGTGAACAAGATTAGGATATCTGATTAGATTTAAAGTGTTTTGAGATTTGAGTAATTTCAAGTCTGATCATTGCATCTTTGAATTCCATTTAACACATAAGCATAATCTTCCCGCCCAACAGAAGACCCGAAATAATTGATCATTTAAAAGCATTTGTAATGGATCATAAAAGATGAAACTCATTCAGTGAATAAATTTATTTATGTATTATCATTCTCAAAAACTGTACGAATTGAAGTAACATAATTGATTCGCGTGAAATTATTATTTTTCCCTTGGGTTCCTAATGGAAGAGAACTTCAGTAGCACGCCTCCATTTCACTCGCTTCTTTGCAGTCTGACTCAACCTGGCGCCACGACCACCCACAAGCTTTCATTTCTTCTTCACATGTCACCCTCTTCTAGGACGCTCAACTCGTCGTTTCCCATTCGGATTCCACTCGATGACCTGGAGCGTGATATCCCCAAACTGTCTTTTCAGTGTATGCCCAATCCATCTCCACTTTCTTCTGCATATTTGTTGGGCAATGGGTTCTTGGTTGGTTCGCTCCCGGAGTTCCTTGTTGCTTATTCTTTCTGGCCATCTGAGCTTCAGTATCGAGTGAGCGTAGGCGGCAGCTGTTAATGTATGTCTGTAGTTAATCGGAAATGCTGCACACTGATTTCAGATTAGTGAAAGCCTGTCTTGATGTCTTTCTGATCCCGGTTTTGACATTCTCGTCTGTGGCGCCCGTAGTAGAAACGATGCTGCCTGCCTGGGTGGGTGAAAGAGACAACTTCGTTTAGGTTTCTCCCGTTGATGGTGCTTCTTGTTGTTGTTGGTTGGGTATCTTCATCACCTCTGTCTTCTCTACTTTTACTTGAATGAAGTCCCGTCTTCGCTGCCTCTTCTGTCAACTTGTTGGTTTTCGACTGTAGATCTAGTCTGTGCGACGTTAGATATAAATCATCATGCATGAAATCCAAATAGCTCCTCACGGTTTGCTGCATGATCCAGTCCAGTAGACCACAATCAGGAAGATCACTGGTGATAGTAGGCAGCCTTGTCTTATTAGTGTGAAATGAATTTTCTAAAATTATGTGGTTCAACTATATGCTGTAGCATAGAACTAGTGATTGATTTAAATTCATCTTTACTAAGCCATATCATAAGGGATTTATGTGGTTATTGAATAGCTTGCTTATGCACATAGCCTAGATACTTAGCAGACAAGCCGTTTCCTCCCCACTCTAAGATCAAGTATAGTGATATAATATAGATGTTGAAGCAACCAGCAGTGGTAGTTAGTTTTTCGCACAGGTGTTCACCATCGCATGGTTAGTATAGTTGATTCATGGAGTGTTCTATTATCAGCTTTCAGTAATCAACGTTACAGAATGTCATGTAGTGTGTCACAAGCAAATTAAAAGTAACTACTACCTTTTTTATATATCCTGGCGTATGTTCGGGGGAGGCTTTTTCAATAAATGCCTTTCTGGTATGCATTTTATAGGCATCCTAATTTTCTCCTCAATGTGTCAGATGTACAGATTTTTCGGATACCAATTGAAAGAGAATAAGGTAGATTTCTTATTCAAATAATGAAGAACCTAACTATCGGTTGTTCATTTCATTTAGGTTTTCGATAAATGGATCTTTCATGAGATCCCTTCTTACTGGTGATACATCAAGAAATGGTACCTGTGAATACCATTCAAGTAGTAAAAGTGATTAGGGAATAATATTGATTGAAAGCATATGTACTTTGTAGTTTTAAACACTTTCCACAGATAGTGAAAATGTTGTCAACATATCCTCTGAAGAATTGAAATTGGATCTAGAAAATTTGGTTCCAATTTGGGTATAAATATATTGACTAGAAGTAAGCCTAAGGGGGGGGGTGGCCGAAATGTCACTCTCTTCTTTCGGTAATATATCTCAACAAGGGTTACGTGAGATACTTTACCAGTATCGTATCCTAATATCGATGGTTGCATATGAAAGACAGTTGGTTGCTCATCCGTGACGAATCAATATATGTAACCTAGTCCCATAGGAGGTTGGTTGCAGCCCGAATATCTCAGTGTTAAAGTCACTGACTACAACACTGGGTGATGGGGGTTAGAATCTCATATGGGACATCAGTTCCGTTAAGGTTGCAGATACGCCTTGCTGACGAGTGCCAACAAGCACGAAATCATGGTCGATTGTCTCCAACCAACTAACAAATAGACACTTTCTACAAATGCAACATTTGATGCAGTTACATCCAATGGTGACGTAACGCTATCAGAAACATTCATTTCAATAAAGCATTTGGACAACCATTTACACTTCAACACTATAGGTATGCTGCACGATGAGAACCCAAGCAAATAACAAGCCCTTCAGGTGAACATTATTTCCTTACTGATATCTTACCTTCAATGACTTTTGGCCTTACTTCCTTTTTTATTCGCCTGTAAAAAACTAGATTCCCTTCGCGTAACATGTAAGATGAATATACCCTTACTCCTACAATATAAAAGGCTAGTTAACATTAAAATCAAGAACTGAGGATGAATCTGATTGGTTTGTTCAAGGTCATTTGTTCATTACACGAAGTTTAAGTTATTATTTCTAGAAAGCCTATTGGAGAAAGCAGCATAAAGTGAAAACAGAGAACAAGGAAGTTATTTTATTCAATTAATTCCTCTGTTATTGTTTATTTATCTTTTGATTGCTTTCTTTGGGTTAACATATTTATTTTGCTGGATAGAACGTCTATGTGTTCGTCAAATTCTTCTGCTTATTATTATTATTAGTAATAGTGTTTCACTTTCCTTAAAACACATGAATCTATTGCTCAAGATATTACTTTTAAAAAAACTGAATAAAGAAAAATATCGAGTTAGTAAACAGACAAACAAAAACCAATGAAGAAACAAGGTGATGGCACTGAAAGAACATGGATGGAAATAGAACCGATTGCCGGGTATAATCGTTTACACACACACACACACACATACGGAAGGGGGTGGCAGTCATGATTGACAAACACAGAGAGCACAACACACACGGTGCTAATCGATTATTTAATGACAAACACCGAAAGTCTTGGCAACGGAAACCAAAAACAAATAAATCAATAAAAAGCACTAAGAAAGTAGTCAAAAAGACCAGGATTGATGAAGATTCGACCCATCAACAACAAAAACTCAGAATACACACATGAACAAACAAACGTGTGTGTAACAAATGTCGACAAATGATTACAGTTTGAAGAACTGAATTCGAAAAAAAATAGGAGGAAGGCAAGTGTGGATAGACAGAAAAAGACAACAATTCTCACATATATACGTGAACAGTTTGTGTGCGTGTATAGTCTAAAAATCAATCAATATATCGACCAATGCTTTGAGTAAGAATAGTTGAAATCACAAACTGGGATGGAAATAATAGACGTTAGTTTTGTTTTTATTTAAACTACTATACTACTACACTATTCGGGTGAATGAGAGGATATGACTGAAGGATAGAAGGGGAGAAGAAAAAGAAGAAGAGCTGGCAACAAGATATTGGGCATTCTTCGACTGCTGAAAGACGCTGCTTCTTTTCTATCTGCATACTGACAGGACAACCAGTTGAAAGGCGAGGAAAAAATAGCTGTATTAGGTGAGCAACAAATGAACACATACACACACACACACACAAACATGAAAACCAAAAGAGCAACAGCAGAAAATCAAAAGTAAAGGGGAAAAAACTGGTTATGTAACTTTTAGTAGTAATAGTCAGTATTATTATTCAGTGAACATGACTAGTTATGTAAGTATGAAATTACCGTATTCTGTGATATCAGGTGGTGAACGTCTATTGTGTGTATGTTGAAATTACTAAGAGACTGGTGGTAATTTATAGAAGAGGGCTAAAACACAGGGATATATAATATTGATAGTTATAATAATAATAATGATAATAATAATATGTACATTGACAATCCGTAAATCAGTTCCCATTCTTTAGTACTGTATATAAATCTGTACTAATGCATCACCGGCACACAACTGCAACGGCTGATGATCAGATATTGAAACAAACACAGTCTTCGAATTCCCATGTGTGTGTGTGTGTGTGTGTGTGTGTGTGTGTGATCCACTGGATCTTACAAACAAAGGCGCATAATATATAATGACACCGCACACCATAGACGGATAAACAGAAAGACATCATTAAATTCCACAGGTTACTGAGCAACTGACTATGGAGTGAATTTGTCAGTTAGACTGGAGTTCACGAAGACACCAGCACACAATTGAAGATTGACACTGCGTGTGTGTGTAGCGGCGGGGGTGGGGCGGGGGTATGTATCGGCGAATGTATGACTCAAGTAACGAAACAAATAACGCTAGAAAACAATATCACAGTAGGAAAATAAGTAGATAAACAAACAAACAAAGCAACAAGTAAACAAACGAGAAAGAAAAAAACATGCAAACAAGTAGATTTTAAGCGTATGTGTAAGAAAATAGACGATTTGATCTTCTTCTATTCTTATATAATATATCAAGGAGGAAGTATTTCTTCTTCTTTTGCTTTTGTTTTGTTGTTGAAGGAACGTGTCGACTGAAGTCTCTTGTCTTGGAATTCAACACCATCATCAATAAAACAGAACAATGGAACAAGCTGTTATTGTTGTTAGGATTTACAGGTGTTTAACGTTTTTCGATTTTTTGTTGAGGTATGATGATGATGACGTGTTGACCACTTTTTAGGTGAATAACGTGGATTCGACGGTGCATCAACAAATGAACGCAATTCATATGTGGCAACACGTGGATCAAATTCAAATTTATCCCGTGAGAATATCAACCGAAGATCTGTGTGTAGGTAAAGTTTGCCCGATCGTGTTGTATGAAATCTGTTAAAAAGAAAGAAGGTATAGCACAATGCAATCTATTTGTCAGAATAGGAATGAAGTTGCCAAAGTGGCTAGAAAAAGAAAGTATATTTCTATGTGAAGTTTGTTTGTTCGATGCTGAAACTAGAAGAAATTGAAAGACCTTACATCATCAGTATCTCTGAAGCATCTAACAGTCTATAGCAGAGATTACCAATGGGATGATTTGTCATTGCTGTGGTTCAGGATAACAGTATCACTTATAAAGGGTGGTAATTGAAGGTGAAAGCCGAATTTGGATCACAGTAAGAATCTAACTGGCGGTTCCCGGATAACCAATCCAGTGCCACCCAACTGCTGAACAGGTTTCAACCACACTTCGACCATCCCCAGCTTTGCTTGGACACAGGCTGACTGATGTAACCATGATCCTCGATGGTCGTTCTGTGAACATCCCCCAACAGCCAACCACAAGTCATTTTCATCAGGGTAAACAGTAGGCAACTACTGTCGTCACTGTGCGTGTGTACAATCTACCAGTCAAATATGAAGTAATGAACTTCTGAATCAAGAACCAATCAAGACAGTGTGAAGTTTCAACAGACGCTGATATGATTTCAATTTCTTTTATCTAACACATGTTTCGTTTTACTGAAAGACTGTGAGAAGAAAACTGTATGCTATCCCATGTCTTTCATTAGTCGAAGTCTCAGTCAGCTGACAAATAATTAAACCAGACACAGTAGTGAACAGCTAAACTTCAACACTTCAAACTATACGATGAATATAAATAAGTAAACCTTTCTCTAGCTAACAATGCAATCACTGTGTGATTGAATCAAAGGAAAGTGGTCGTTGGTTCGAATCCCGCCCGGTCCAAACTTTCATTTCAACTTCAATCATCACACAGTACAAATACTAGTCTGTCAAACCACAGCAGTTATTTCAAGTAGTCAAAATGATAATAAAGGCAGACAAATCAACTGATGTAGGGTTGTGAGTGTTTAACACTTATAACAACTTTAAAATGTATTATTGCTTATACTGATTATTAATCGCCCTATATAATGCAAATTATAACCTAAGGTAGGGGATTGAGTTCGACGAAAGCTAAGGGTGACAGAATCAACACAGTTAGTGTGAGTTGGACAGGAAATTGTTCGCTATCTGACAGGTTTTTGAAACAGTTAGTCCCTTTTATGAATTTCGATAGCGTAATTAGAAGACGAATTTTTGTCTGAACAATGTGTGGCTGAAGTATTTGCGCAATACATTTCGAACAATCTGATCCCCCACTCAATTACTTGTCAAGTCAATACATATATTAAACCGAGGACTGGGGAGGGGGGACAAATACAACGATTAACGTAATAGGGAACTAAAATTAAGAAAGATGAGAACAAAGAGGAAGTGAAATAGTTGGTCCTAATCTTGGTCAGAAAATAAAGTTTACCAAGTTAGGTGTAATGCAAGCACAAACTGTTTTTGTACACATAAAGGTGGTTTAAATTTTTGTATGGCTATGGCTTGCACGAATCTCAGAATACGTCCCTGACTGTTTCTCTATAGAACTTTGAAAGCTGTTTAAACATTAACTTTGTGACGTGTTTCTATGATATGTTTAGATATAGATGAAGAGAGTCGTCTTCCACCAGCGTTTATCACTGTTTCACACTCCATTTGTTTTTACACTACACCTACCTTGGTAAACTTTATTTTCTGACCAAGATTAGGACCAACTATTTCACTTCCTTTTTGTTCTCATCTTTCTTAATTTTAATCCCTCATTGTGTTAACTATTGTATTCCCCCCCCCCCTCCCCAGTCCTCGATTTAATATATGTATAGACTTGACAAGTAAATATGTGATCAGATTGCTCGAAATGTATTGCGCAAATACATCACATTATTCAGATAAGCTTCGTCTTCTAATTACGTTATCAGACATATATCCACAAGTTATCCAACATAGATTATTGGCAACTATAAGCATTATCATGCAAAGTTTATCACTATGGTGCAAATACATCAATAACTTATCCTCCACTAACTAGTATCCTCCTATATCTTTATCCCTTTCATAGACCGATGATATTTTCTTATTTTTGGCATGATTCACTTCCATTTAATTAAAGTGTTATATCTCGTGCCAACAGAATGCGACAAAACTGATCACAGTTGACGAATTCTGTATAACATTTCGATGCGATAAAATGTTACAAAGGGGACAACATTATTGATAAGTATATTCCACTGTAGAATAGCTGATAGTATGTTTCATCATTCGCTACTTCTGAGTTGCAGTAATCAAGGGCAGAGAGTGAGCCTTCAATCACTAATAATGTCTGAGGATACTCCACTTGTTTACACTAAGAATAAACTCTAGGTCACAATATTCAGTTACTGATTCCGTGAATACTGAGATTTTGGATTCAAATTTACTCTAGTGTTTTGACAAAGGTAGCAGAGAGATGCTTAAATTATGTTTGTAAGTGATGTCGATTGATGAATGGATAGATGGAAAATTTTAAAAACATCACCGCCAAGGTTCATCAGCGCAGTTTAACACAGAAACCAACAACGACATCCAATGCATTGAGTAATGCAAGCAGGTGCACTCCATTGAGATGGATAGATAGACAGGCGGATGGATAGGGGTGGACAGACAGAGAAAAGGAGAGAAAGAATGTGTGTGAGTACGAAATAAGTTTAAGCATAAGCTTATCCAATTTCATTTGTGAATTAAGGCCAATAGATGATTGGCCAGTGACAGACAATGAACAAAACTCAACCGGCTTCAAGAAGCAACTAAATATAACCAGAGAAAGAGACAGAGAGAGAGAGAGAGAAGCACTTTCTTCCATAGGTGCGTACAACTAATAAATATCACAGTAAATATACAACAGACTAAAGATGAAGTCTTCATCGATAAGGCCAATCATGTTCATCATAAGAGTATACCAAGGAATCTAGTGAGAGAATGATGATAGAAATATGTTTTAAATTCTTTCGCCATTATATGTGACATCAAACGTTGAGATCCTGTTCACAGTTACTCTGATGTTGCATTACTTCCATAGGAGAGAGAGTAGCAGAATTATTTCTATTTGAAAGAATTGATTAGTTGCCTAACAAAACTTCTCCCTATCCTTGGCTCAGTATTGCCTGTTTGAGTGTAAAAGTTCTCAGTTATGTTGTTTAAGTTACACCGTTTACAGATATTTGTGACAGATTACTGTGTTTTAAAACATATCACTCCAATATTCCTGTGCATACAGGTCATAATTGAAGAAATTATTTATTTTAGTCGACTTTTTCAATCCTGTTTACCGACAGATCAGCTCATCAAAGGACATTTCATTCGTAAACTAATTATTGTCTAATAAAAGATACTACTACTGAACAAGTTGAGTAGTTAGAAACCACTTTTTCGCTAGTTCATGATACTTTTGTGTCCGATGTTACACCATTGTGATCTTGACTGAGTGGTTTCCAGCGGAAACCTTGTTAATATCCCAGTTGGTTTGCAGTTGAAAAACTACTTAGGTGTGAGAAATGCCAAAATAGACCGTGCAAATTGGTCATTATATTTTGGCTATCGTCTAAACTGAGCGGTGCAAAAAATCTTATCGTAACTGGGCTTAAAATGAAATGTAACATGTTGTGTTTCAAAATATCCCAGCTATGAATATGCACAGTGAAGGGAATCACTTTAACTGAAGACTACTCAGAATGACTTCTTCACTTGTTTTTTCATCAGAAGAAATGCGTTCGTACACAATTAAACTCATTATTAGAGTATCTACTAGATGGATTAAACTGACACAGCTCATCTGTTCATTATTCGTCAACTTCCAGGTAGTTCGCTGCGGGTTCAAACTCCATTTTACTTGTCGGCAACAACATGTGTCCAAGCCGCCTCAGTGTTTACTAAACTTCATTTATTTGTTCCCTATCCTATAATATATATATATATATATATATATATATATATATATATATATATATATATATTATTTTCGTTTCATCTTCCTCAATATCAGTCGTTTTATTCATTCTTTCTCCTCAATCTTGCTTAATTTAACGCCATTTTTCGACGTTATGATTTTCTCTCTTAGTTACCAATGTAAAGTGTGAGAAATTGAAAAGATGCATTCCAACCTTTCACTTCGAACAATTTCTACTATTCTTCAATGAAGTATTAAAAACCCCCTTATGAAGTATCATGACATTTCTATGGCGTTTGTGACAGCTTATCTAATTTGTTAAGTGGAATTCAGTCAGCATACAGGACTTGACAGCATGAGATCGGTTGCTCTCCAGTGACCAATCAATGTACCTAGTCCAGTCCTACGGAAAGTTAATAGCCACCCGAAGAGCCCAGCGGTAACGTCGCTGACGCCAACACTAGGTGATGTGGGTTCGTATCTCAGAGGGGACATCAGTTCCTTCGGTGTTGCAGAGACGCTTTGCTGACGAGTGCTAACAAACATGAAACTTAGGTCAAGCAGGACGTCTTACAGACTGTTTTCAATTATTTGACAGATTTTTTAGTCTGTTTAGCAAATAAATTGGAGGAACCTCAAAATTCATGACATATTTTCGGTGATAATTACCTATAGAATTCAGGGTATGCGTATTGTCTTATTGTAGGCTCATTAGCTGAATGCATCTGGACTCCAGTGTATGTTCCTAATGGGGCTTTAATCCAGCAACTCATCATTTCAACTCAACAGTAGGAACAATGAAAAATTTAACGAAATAATAATAAGCATTGGTAACTGTACTTCAGTAGCCTGTTCAAAGACCAACTCATGATAGTAACACCATCCAAGTGGACAAGTTTCAAGTAGGACATCACCGTTGTTTTGTTTCAATTCATTGATAGAGAAGAAGAGAGGGAAACAGTAAACAGTAGATCTTGTGCAAATTTACAGCGTTGAACTGCTTTAACCAGCTAGAGAGTCATGCATAGAATAGGTGGATTAAACTTCTTGTATTCCTGGTTGTGTACTCCAGGAAAACAACTCCATTACACCCAAATCATGTGGTTTATTTAACACTGAATTAATTATTATCAGACGTTCAGTTATTTTGATGAATATCTGTGTAGTCATAAGTTGTAAGACAGAATATGAACGACGCCTTTACACACACACACACCTGCAAAATAAATACCATATGACCTTTAGTTGTCATCCTTTATAATCAGACTATACTGGATCACAACAGTATGATGTGTAGACTAGTATGCACGTCTACGTATACAAGAGAGAGAGGGAGAGAGAGACAGAGAGACAGAAAGAGAGTTTACAAGTACAATATTGTCCTAAGGTGATAAAGACTACGATAGATTTTACAGATTGAAATCAGTTAAAAAAATAAGGCGTAAGGAATTTGGATTTATTACACGCACTAAATACTTTGCGCATAAATATGTAAACAACTTTCGTGAAGATATTTCGAATAAATATAATAATAAAAATACGATTGAGGTAAAGTACAAAGATAACAGATATAGTTATTGATTTGCTCAAACAATCTGAAACAGCTGTTGTCTAACAGACTAGTATTATTGATGATACTCGACAATTATCATTGAAGCGTAAAGTGGAAACGTGGGATCATAGAAGAATTAGAACCAGCGGCCTCTTCATTATCATCCTTACTGCCCTACTGACCGAGATAGGAGACGTGGTTATTCATTACTTCTTAGCTTTACTTCGATCAGTGAAGGTTTCGCCCTATTCTCATGTGATTATCATGATGAACGCGCCATCTATCCAGCCAAAAGTTTCTCATCCCAATAAAAATCGAGTTAAATAAGAGAACAGGAGCATTGTACAGATTGATAAGTCTGTGAAATAGCCGTGGCGTAGCACACTGATCATACAGAGTCTTATTGATACATACTGATGATTATAGGTGAAGTGAAAACTTCGGTCAAAGCGGAATTCCAACAAGCAACCTCTAGATTATCATCCCAGTGCCTTGCAGATTGAGTCAAGAGACTAAGCTACCCAATTTATAGGTGGAGACAGCTGGTTCGAATCCTATCATGACCTAAGTTTTCAATCATGTACAGACTAAATTATCTCAACTGAGTTCATGTATAATTCCAAATATGAACAAAATAACTAAAATGTGTAAATCTGAATTATTATTATTATTATTATTATTATTATTACTACTACTATATATAATATGGTTCAAATGCTTATGCTTCTATTGGAAGGAATCTGATGATCCATATTTCCAACTTCTGTCAGTTCACGACTGCTCAAACCTCGGTAGGTCGAGCAGGGTTCCAACTTTTGATCCACTGGTTGAAGGTCAACTCCCTTAAACCAATGAACCAGAACTCTAGGTGGTCTGCACTTCCCTCATGGCTTAAATAAACAGTCAACAACTATTTCATGGATGTCAAAGGGATTATTCACTCGTTCAGTGTTTCTCTTAACTACTAGAAACTGACATGGAATGAATTGTAATGCAACGCATGTGACCTTGCTACTATTAGTTAACACGATCGTATAGAATTACTCATACCTTATGCTATGCATTTAAGGATAATGGCAAACGTATGATGAGTGTCATAACTTTTCATATTGCGCAGAATGGATACATACTGAACTTTCAACCAATAGCTCACTAATTCGAATCCCGCTCTACTTAACGATGTTTATGCAGCCAAGTACCATCATGAGTACTCAAACAATGGATTTGGTTCATTGCCTACTGTATGGTTGCGTATGTGTTTACTAAGTATATTATGATTTTGATGCCAGCAACACTATTCAAGCACATTTAACTGCTACGGAAAGACAAAGTGTTCATTTTTACTTGAACTGTATGACGTGGAAGTGAAGGGCAAATGGCAGGACTAGAAAAGCTGATTAAGTCCAGCTACTAGCCATCATATTCAAGAAAAATCAGTCAATCAGTTAACGAAACCATATGTATCTCAACTAGACTACAACTCCTAACAATAGTCTTTCGCTTCCAATGAATCACAGCTACGATGAATAAGGTGAATTACTCATCCGATGATAATGAATGAGTAGAATGATTATGAAACGTCCGCCACGTGAAATCTAACCTGGATAAATACTTAACATCGGAACAGTTAAGGTAGTATTCACCATGGGAGATGTTGGCACAACGACTGAAATGGTTGGAATTATCTGTGTAGCGTCTAGTAGTCTTCTATTGAGAACAATCATTGCATGATGTAAGCAAACTGGTTAAGTTAAATCACCTCTTATGTAACTCATCAGCACATTGGAAGACCAACATAAAAATAAACAGTCTGATAGCCCATGTTATATTAACTTATTGGCTGCTTGCTTTACTGGGATAAAAACTTTTCAAAAGCATCGATAGGAGGCCCTACTTCACCTAGGTTTCGTTCTTGTCGGCACGTGTCGGGAAGGCGTATCTATAACCTCGATGAAACTGATCTCTTACCTGAGATTCAAGTGTTGCAGTCAGTGACGTTACCATTGAGCTATTTTCACCGCGACTGACCCCCTGTATGACTGGGTTAGGTACATTGGTTAGTCACTGAAAGGTAACCAACTTTATATTGTCTAGTTCCCAGTGCAGATCGAATTCTTTCGATCATCTTTCGCAAAATGTCCACCAGACTAGTTGATTTAGCATCGCGGTGCACTTTGATAGATGTCAGCTGATTGGAGGCAGTTAGCAGGAAACCCTGGACGTAAGTTTTATGTTCCTGCAACCTCAATGGAGATGATATCCCACCTTAAATTCGAAACCGCATCACCCAGTGTTGTAGTCGGCGATGTTACCGCTGAGCTATTCGATTGATATCTGTATACATTACCTGAATGGTCGGTAAATAACCTCCCCTGCGCTATATCGATTTCAAATATCAAAGCAAACAATTAAAAGCTAGTTAACGAGATATTTTATTATGCAGTTTGACTACAGATTGTAAAATTGCTGTATAAGGGTGAACAGCAACGCCAGACAGCCTAAACATCAATAACCCAAAGTGTATACATCAAATACACAACCACACAACAGATAGACATAGCAACATCAACACTGGTAAAACACTGCACTGCATATAGAGTAAATCCCATGAGAGATAATTTTTATAAGATAAACAGGAGACAGGTGAACAAGTAACAAACAGGAATTTGAGAAGTGCCATAGTTGAGTAAATGCCAGAAAATCAAATTGATTAGTTCACAGCTATATAATCATTGAAAACAAGTGAGTTCGCCAGTTGTTAACACGAAAGACGCCTATAATCTATGAGACAATCGTCCACCTGACTCAGTGCTTCACTAGTTCTGTTGAAACATGTTTAAGAGGAAATCACTTACATCTTGTAACAGTAGATTGCAAAAATACCTACCAACATTTCTGTGACCTGAGAATAAGTTTCCATGATATACCTTCTATTCGAGGAGTGATTTTATTAAATGACAGATGAATGTAGAACCTGGCATCAAAATGCATAACTTCAAGTTACCACACTTCACAGCAGCATGTAAAATAAGCTGAGTAAAACAAGAATGATACAAAAGTTGAATTAAGTTATAAAAGAGACCAGAGAAGAGATGATGACTGATGCAAACATTGACAACTTCAAAGGTGACGAAGAGTGAATACACCTGTATCATTGTCATGGATTTTCAGTCACCTCAACGATAGTTTCCAAACAATGATTTTTATCACCTCTAGGATGCCAGTCTGACAGCTTACATACAAACTGATTAGACCAACAGTGACAGACATCATAAACTGGTGCAAACTCTCGGTCTAGTAACCTTTAGCCTTCTTCCCAACCAGATTCAACCTTGACTGAATTCGCTGAACGAAATAGGTGATGAGTCAGCATGAGGAGCACATGTCTAAACCCTATCTTCAATGGATGAAGTGATGCTTTTGAGAAATGGTTTAAATATCAGAGGTTAGACTAGGTTGAATGACTTCAAATACTGGACCGGTTAAGGATATACATAAATTCAGTGTTTCCATCATGAACAAGAATGATTAGTACAATAATACAACAAGAAGTGTATTACATAATCAACCAACACAAGATGCCCTATAGATGGAGATGACTACTGTAGGGAAAAGTTGACTAACCTTAAATGGACAAGATAACGCAGATAGGCAGGTAGTTCATGACGTGAATTCAGTGCACCAGGATAGACAACATTCTGTGACCCAAATGAACTGGATGAGCACACAGATGATATTGACGAACAGGAACACGATGCTGATGAAGAGAATGATGGTGTATTTGGTTCAGTTAATGATTTATGCGGTGTACTACTCCAGAAGAGATCATTTGTACCAGTAGAAGTAGCAGCCACAGAAGTAGTAGTAGTAGTAGTAGTAGTAGTAGTAGTAGTAGTAGTAGTAGTAGTGGTAGCATTAGAAGAAGTATGTGTAGCAGCAGTCAAATAGTCTGTGGATGTACGTGTATACTGGTGATGAATTGGATTATAGGGACGATTAAATGAACTATGACGATGACAGGTTCGCAGAAGAGATGATGATGGCGGAGGAGTAGGCGCAAGAAATGAACCAGTAGACGGTAGATTGGAGAACTGAAATTGTCTAGGCCATGCTGCTGGTTGAGGCACAGTTAATGGGGACTGTTTCTGTTGTACTGGCATATAGACTGTGCGTTGTCGCAAAAAAGTTTGTGAGTTCGGTGGCATATCATCTAAATCGTATACAATAACAAACATTTTGACCACTAGACCAGTTGGATTGAACAACGTCAGCTAAATACAAAAACAGATGAAAACATAAACAAGGTCAGACTGTAGTAGTAAATAAAAACATTAACAGTCGTAGTGCTAGCAATAATAATAATAACAATGATAATAAAAACCAGTTATAAAGCATAAATAATAAAGTGATATTTTTGTGACACGTGACTCTTGAAAGGTTAAGGTATTCAAAAGTTAACAACTAACTTTGAAGTGCTATTTGTGAGTAATAAAGGCATCGTATAAGCAAGGAGCGTTGATGAAGGTTTGGCTGAACAAAGCCAGAAAAAGGGACAGCAACAATTCGAAAAGCATGAATGGCCTATTTCTTGTATAAATGTTTGTTTTCCCCCACTCGTGTCCTTATTTTGTAAAATACTCTATTTTTCCTGGCTGCTTAAGCTGAGTGACACACGAGAGATAGAAAGTAGAATGCCGCATTTAACTTAATGCTAAGGTAAACCGTTTAGTGCGATTTCAATTTCTTGTTGGCTTCAATAACCAGAACTGAACACATTCACTGATCAGCTACATTAACACTGTATGTCGGATCAAGTAGGAGCATGATAGAGAAAGTATTTGGTTGACCAAATTGAAGGAGGAGACCAAACCAAATGCATCCAGTGATTGCTAAGCTAAGTTACCTTGATAACATGTAGGGTTAATGAAAATAAACTTCAGTAAAGAAAAACCCTGAGGACGACCTATCAGGTTGCAGATGTTATATTCAAGGTCATTTGTTAGTCCGCCTATCAAGCTGTAGAGGCTGCATAAATACTTGATGAATTATGAAGATTACATAGTGGGTTACTTGAAGAGAGTTGGATTGCTTGCAAGGAGTATAAATTGTGAATGTGGATTTGTGATTGATTGTCTACCTAACAATGAGAAAAGAGATAGCTTCATCCTTCGTTGTCCTAGTTACTAAATACAAGAAGAAATCTCTCTAACAAATAGTGATTTTAGTACTGCATCGGGTCGTTGGAACGCCTGTACTATCAGCAAGAGCTCTGACAGATGTTAGTGAAGTCTATTCAGTGCAGTGGTATTAACACTACTCCAAAATAACATGCAGATTCTCGGTATATACAACCGAAATACGAAGAAAGAATATTTTCAGTCGGTAAATGATAGATCAGAAGAAGCTATCCTACCAGTTATAGAAAAATGGGTAGCATCGGGTACCATAATAAACCCAGATGCTTTGAAGTTGTGCATGTCATCATCCAGTATCGGCTACCCCATCAATGTATTGATTACAAGAAGCACTCCGTTGATCGGACAACTGAATTACATTCAAACAACATTTAAAATATCTGTAGTCGCTATAGAAAGTTTATAAGATCTTTAGGAGGATCACTGGAAGATATGTTATGATTTCATAAGGATGAGTGATAATACAAACAAAAGTATGGTTTCAAAGATGATAGGCCTATTGAAAATCTAGATATCTTCATTTTTTATTTAAAACGGACTTGCAAATAGTAAATGACACCATATTCCTTAATAATTACGTTGTCTTTAGTGTGCTCGATTCTGATTAGTCAGTGCATATTTCAACGTGATTGGCCGCGACTAAAGTCTAATTGTATCGTATGTTTTTCAGCATAACAAAAATACTACACTACACTCACTACATTCCGATATGGAATGTCGGATAGTGATCAGACTAAGTGAATTGTTGGACATTTTGATCTAGACAGAGGGTTCACGTTTGGCAAATATACCATATAACTACCCATACTGAGTTGGCATTGTTTTACATTTCGAAAGCAAATGTCAAAGTTGGTTGTTATTGGTATAATGTATTATGGTTTTAATTTAATAAAGAGTGATTTCGGTTGTCTCACATACTAGCAACTATTCATACACGTGAACTTTTTAACTGTTCAGCAGCTAGACACATGACATAGATAAGCCTATAAAAGTACTTTATACACTGAAGGTTTGAAGCAGACACCACATACTCACTGACAATAATATCCTACTGGTTAGTTGTGAATTGGTGTAACCTGTCTGGTGCTCAACAGTGAAACAATGTAATTTGTTTATTCAAAAGCGAAAAACTTTTTCTTCAAGTAAAACAGATCTATGGCACAGGCATAACCACCACCAGCATTGGTATGCGTTGCTTAACTACTTGGCGTGCGTCTTGTGGTGTCATTAAGGTGTTGTGGGTTCTGAGGTACACCCCTTTCTTCCCTTCCATCTATCAGACACACGCGTAGTAGTTCCATTGTGACCAATTATCAGCTATCTCTTTGACAGTCTCCAACCACTTATTGCTAACCTCTAGGTGACCTAGAGAGAGAGAGAGGGAGGGAGAGTGTGTTCGCACCTCCCTCTACCAAACTCACATGAACAGTTGTACAACGAAAAATACACGATAGTAAATGTGATACCAATTGAAAATTATATTTCCTCAGAAGCTTTATTAACAACACGTATGAAATGTATGGATGCATAAAAGTGTAATTCAGTTGACGACCTAATGACGGCGTTCATGTGTTGAGCATGTGAACAGGAAGACAAAATTTAAAAAAATCGTTGAAATAAGTCATACGTACACTCCTGATAATCATAGAGCACACGATCACAAACATATGATTATAATATATACAACCACTTTGCACTTGAGTTAGTAAACACTCATTCACAGCTGATTTCGAAAAATCACCAAAACTATTGAAGCGAGCGCTCACACGAAAAAGAGAGATGAGACAAGACCACATGTTTGATGTTGGAGCTTGTTATTTCCTTTTTTGGTGTTGTTGATTGATTTCAAGCGAATTTATCGGTCTCTATAAACATATTGAATCTTGTGCGGATGTCTTGACGATATACCCAGTGATTTCGATAACGGGGATAGATAGTGGCTAACAGAGGAAGCCAAGATGCATTCAAAATGGGATAAAACACATGCCTCAAATTCAACTACTAGGCACTATCCATTCATAATATCAAGATTATGTGTTGTTCGACCGAGTGATTTTTGGTGAGCTTGAAGGTATCACACAAAATCGATTGACATTATTCAAAGGATGAGCAGAAAAAACTCAACAAAACTGAACAGTTTTTTTCAAATCATATCTGCGAACTCTTCAACAATTCCGCTTACAGAAATCAGCATGTGTATTGAAAGAGTTATGAGTCAATTGGTCCTTTGGAATCTACCGGTCACCACCTTCTAACTTCAGTCAATTTGTAGTATAGAGTAAATTTTACTGACACAGCAGTATATCTAGAGCTACTATAGATTAGAATAAAGCTGGGACATATAAATAAATATCTGCACCCAATTGGTTCCACTGAATGGAACCACCAAATGCCACAGCAGCTAAATGACCCGAACGTGCACTTGTTCACACACACACAAGCTTCACTAGTGCATCCTAAGTATACTCCATAATACAATACAGTTAAACCATTTAAATATTGTGCATTAATGATGGATAGTGACTAGCAGTGGAATCGAAAAAGCGTGTTTCTTTCTATTTGGAACTTATCAGCTTATATGCCAACAGAGATCGATCAATTCGGTCCATTCAGTGACGGGATAGTACAAATAACATCATTCAAACATTGATTAAGAGATGCATGACGAATTTATTGAACCACAACTTACAAAAACTCAATTTCTCCTAGTGGGGAAATTATGTAAATTCGATTCAAAGACTGTACTCATTCCCTTTGACCAGTTGTCATATTGGTATAACTGTTCTCAAAAATGATGAACATATCAGAAAGGATATTTTCAGTAGTGATCAACTCCTAACCCATGTTCACCTATTTTCTTTGTTCATGACTATTTTAAGCCAGTCAATCAGTTTCATCTATGTATGACACTGGGATCAGTGAAGTTTGATTATAAGGAAGTTAACTATATTCAACAGTAATCCTCAGACTTCATCTACTTTACGAATAAGTGATATAGCCGATGAAGATACAAGATCACAGATATTGCACATATGTTGTGGAACAACCAAATATACAATGCTACGATCATGGGGCAGAATTCCACTGAAATACGTTATTTAGTCCATAGGGTTAAACATTTACACTGATTATGGTTGTTATCTGCCGGTCACACGCATATATTAATGCCCATTCACAACAGGTAGCCCAGATGTACGATGCTACATGGAAAGTTATTAAACTAAAAGAAAGTTATTACTGAGAAGACTAAAATAATAACATTTAATGAGGAACTTGATTGTTGGCCTCAGCGATGTATACAGCTTAAGTTAAATTGTCTTCAAGATGATAAAAATTAATCATTTCATAACCTATTTAGGTACAGTTTTTATGTCGTTGATTATACTATATTATACTGCACCCATTGTACAAGTAGTGGCTATCATGACTCAGTGGGCTAGTGTCCAGGGTTCGAGTCCTAGTGGAGACAATATCACTCACTGGGAGGCAGGCTAACCAGTCACAAACAGGACGAAACGCGTGTCCTAGATTCCACTGCCAACTACTATACATTATTAATACCTAAATAATTTGAAAAGAAACACCGAAATCATCTCCACGTTCCAGTCGATTTTTTTCCTCTGTGAAGTTGTCAATAATGATGAATTTCACTGATACCTTCTTTCTATGACTGTTAAAGTTCGTGATTGTGTCCGTACTAGTACAAAAGATCACCTTAGCACTACCAAAGTTAGTCGACCACCGCTGCTTTCGTAGCATCGATTGTAGTATGTCATGTAACCACCACCTTAGTAACGTAGAAATCATATGTAGAGTTTTAGTCTAAAAGAGACCAAGTCAGTTCATCAGGTTGTACATCTTCATCGACTCAATTGGCTAGGACGTGTGTTACGCATACCTAGACACTGCACACCTAGTCATCCAACCTTCATTGGAGTATGGTTAGGCTGAGAAAAGATTAAAGATAAACAGACTGAAACATGGAGTCAGTAAATCAAGTAACTAGCTGCTGGTCCATGACTTCTCATTAAATTGTCCCCCCTATTCTTTCATCTTTCATTTAGCTGTATTGTGCA